TGATCATCTCTCTCTCTCTCTCTCTTCCTATATGCATTCTCCTTCTTAGATGTTTTATTGTGTTTGTAAATACATTTATTCCTTGTAACGTTTATTAACCGTATACGTAATCACCTTTATTAAATACATATATTCATTGATTGATTCTGCCTGTGCTCATACTTCAAATCACTTAAATGTTTCGATCAGCTACAAGCTTTGAAATGGTATAATACTTTAAATAGTATTGTGACAAAACAGGAGAGCTATCTTTTACGGCCGTAAAGATCGTCTCTTCCTGCGAGTCTCTTAAAGGTAATTTCTCTGTGGAAATTGATGAAGATCCATGACCAGTTTGCTGGACAAACAGATTATTCGATACTAATTAATTCCATTGAGGAGTATCCTGAGAATCTATATATTCTAGACAATTTGTATATGAATATTGAATTATAATTCGTTATGATTTGATTATTGATAAATAAAATTGATCTATCTTGCCGATCTGTATGAATAATTGATTATACATCCATTGTATTCAGTCGTTCATAACAGATTGGCAACGTAACCCCCTTTGCCGGGTGATTTTTAACATGTATTGTTATCTGGGTCAACCCCGTATCAATAGTTATTAATTTGTAATTACTAAATATTGAATACATATTCCCCAATGGCCCAAATACTTTACAGTAAGTAGGACCTGCTCGGTGTCATCGCTTGCTGCGCCATTCCACTCCACGGACTGGATTTGTGCGCTATTTCACTCAGATGAGTTCTCCTTAGACCCTGAGTTCCTCCTTCACTGTCGATACGGTCACCAGAATGCATGCCCGGTTGGTCAGCCCTCGTGATTGGCTAGGTGCTTCCATGTGCAACCCCCACATGAGTATTTCTACGGTAAGTCTCCAACAAGCACGTGTCTTTCCCTCGGCAAGACCTCTTGCCATCTCGAGGTTGAAACTTTCAACCCTGCGGGCTGGATACCTCTGAGTTTTCCTTATGCATCCCGTACTCAGGTCATATGTGTATTTTAAGTCATCCCTGCGGGTAGGCGCTGTGTTACATATTCTACCTGGGATATGCTACCTAGTGTACCTCTGTATTCTTGCGTTAAGCCTAGCCCTTCGTTCGTGTTAGTCTCACGACAGGGAGCTCAGACTTGCGGATGGCACTGGAAGACAGCCGCTGTGGCGTGATTGAATTGAGACCTTCCATTTCGTCAGTCACTGACATAACTCTGAGTGACTGAACGAAAGGGAACGTCTCGGTTACGTATGTAATGTTACATCCCCCTGCCACAACCACTGTACCGCTGGAACAGCCAGTAGTTCAGTCTCGGCTCCTCAGCATAACATAATGCGAGATTGCCGCGCAGCTCTTTTTATACCCACGCGGTGGGGCAGAGTTGCACTATGCAAATTCCGCAGACCCATGGAATTGTTTTGCTATTGGCTCGTATTGTAGAAGTCGAAGGTGATAGGCTTCTAAGCGAATCCCCCATTTCGTCAGTCATTGACATAACGTCTCCGTTCCCTCCTCAGGGAACGAGGGTTACATACGTAACCGAGACGTTTTCTGCCAAACCCATAAGATTTTGGTTAATCTTCTAAAAAGCCTGGTTTATCCAAAGGTTTTTTTTTCTCTCCATCCTGTCACCTGATGAAGTTTCAGTTCCTTGCAACTGTAGTCTTTGGCTTGCTTAGTTGGGGACACTTAATATTCACCAATATTATTGACTTGACTGCACTGAAAAAATCTGTATTGTATAAAGCGCTATTTAAATAAAGGTGACTTGACTTGACTTAAAACCCTGAGAGGTTTTTGTCCCAAGTCTTGTGAAGAGATATGGGCCCGGTTCCCCAAAACGTTCTTATCGCTAAGTAGTTCTTAACCTATTTCTTAACCTCTCTCTTAACCTTATGGCACGATTCCCGACACGTTCGTACGCTAAGTATATCTTCTGTAAGTCACACTTTCATAAGGTTGGTCTGGACCATTCGTAAGCTCTCTCTTAGCGTTGTTTGAGCTCAAGACACTAGTCGCCGCCACTGTGCAGCAGTCTTTAGAAATCAGCGCAGCACAGTACAAGTCAAACTATGGTATGTTGACAATGTTGTGTCTCAACAATGATTTTATATTTTATGGACATTTTAAGACTAATAATAAAATAGGTTCGCAATGGATACAGGCCTATTTATGAAGTTGACTTTATTTGGTATCAGAACTAATATGGTGGTAATTAGCCGAAGCTATTTCGTAATGTCATTAAAGAGTTTAAATTGGCAATCACTTTTGATAGGCTAATTAAAATCTGGCAAACAATTTGGCTCTAAATGGCTAAGATCTATAAATGGGTAAGCATGGTGGTGTCTAGTAACTGACCAACTATATGTCACATTTTTTCAAAACTCTACACACAATTCCCAAAACTTCACACACAAAATGCAAAATGCCTCACATCTCCTTCAAAAATGTCATAAACACATGTAAGAATAAAACATTTGCATCAAATGGCAAACATTTATTTCATAATAGTGCATTTTTGGATATACCTTGTAAATATTGTTTTTCTAAATCTAAAGCTCTTTGGTCATTCTTACACTTATATCTACATTTCAATACAATGTTCTACAGTGAAAGTAATCTTCTGAGAGGGGTAACAAGTACACTGTAATCACCAATGCAATGTAGAAACAGTAAATATTTATTAGGCCAAACATTACTGTTGTATACAGTAGCATACAACAAAACCATAAACATATGTAAACCAAAAGTATATTCTTTAGAATACAGTAAAGAACACAATTGAGTGTGGGGGGTCTCTGTGTTGGCATCCATTGTTCAAACAGGTAATCTGACCTTTGACCTATAGGCTTATACTACAGTAAAGCAGTGATTGGTTAGTGATCAGTAAAGCAATTAGTGTTTGCACATATGAGGAGTGTGTGTGTGACCTGGTGAATAAGTGTAGCATTTCGATTGGTTGTGTTTGGAAAAGGAAAGCAAGTAAATTCCTGCTAGATTTTTGTGTTTTAGGTAGAGAATTGTATGTAGTGTTTTGAAAAAGTGTTTTATGCAATTGAAAACTGAGTCAAAGGCTGAGAAATAGCTTATGGTTTTGTAGATTTGGTGTGTAGGTTTGCATTTTGAGTGAGAGGTTTCAGGGCCGGAGTGGGACTCATTTTCAGCCCTGGAGTTTCATGCCTTAGACCGGCCCACTTTAGTTCCCGACTGTCTATATTAAAACAATGTAATTAAAACCTCAGTATATAAGTCTGCAATTGTGCACTCTTCTGTACAGCCTTGTAATTCATTGCATTTTTTCAAAAATATAATTTTCTATTCAGTGCAAAAGCCGTACACAGGGTTTTATAAATACAGAGGTCCCAAAAGTGATCTTGCCCGGGGGCATATTATTTTTCCACTGTCATTGTCAAAGAACTTAGGCTATCTGTGTTAAATGGGAATCCATTGCAATAAAGTTATTCTCATTCTGGGCACAGTATTGCTTTACCTGCTCTCCTCTCTCATCTCCATCTCCTTCTCTCGTTCTTCTTCTCTCGGTCTCTTTATCTTTACCTGTAAATATCCCCTTCCCGAAGCTGAGCTTTGATTGATACAGTCTTTGCAAACTGATTATTTATGTCGGTCGTTTAAAACTTCTATCGTAAAACAGCTGTTTAGTTTTGCCACTTGCATCTTATCTCGTGAAGCGTCGCGTTGGGATTCGCGCGCGGCTCGCGCTTCTGTGAACAGAAATCCTGCTTTGATCGGTCATCTCAAACATTTTGACATATCACAATTTGATAATTTAATTAATATATTTTACTGATAACTTAAACTATGTTAAAATAAATATTACTGGAATAATTTGAGGAATGTTTCATTTGCATATAACGTGTTGTCTTTCTTAACGCCGTAATACACCTTCGCGCGAAGTGGAAAATCGATTCCTGAGCAATCGATGCCAGCTAATTCAGCACCTTCACTTGGGACAGCGCCTTTGTAACGTCGAACGTAAGAGGCAAGAAGCTTCCTAAGGGACACTTCGGGGAACACACTTAGGAACTTAAACAACTTTGGTAAGATATATCTCTCGAGTCTTCTTAGCGCGCTAAGAGTGAGCGTTATCGGGGAACCGGGCCATGATCACTTTATATGATTAACAGATTTAATTTAGGCTTTTATTTACATCTAAACATTCATCAACATAAATAAACAAGGCACACTGGTAAACATGGAAGCTCAAACATACATGTGTGATGCACAAGAACCAATGAGGTTTGTTCTAGCATATGACACATGCACAAGCTTCTGTGTTTGTCAAATTTGATGTGCGCTATGTCCAAGACCTGGATTAAACAGCTTGATTTATATGGATTAGTTTTACGAAGCCTTTGTGACCTTTCAGATCTTTTACGTGTTGGTTACCTGGACATTCAATGGAGGGACAGAAACCTCTCAGGTTTCGTTAAATATAATTGGTGTCTCGTAGTTTAACCAAAGTCTTATGGGTTTGAAATGACATGAGAGTGAGTAAATGATGTCAGAATTTTCATTTTTGGGTGAACTAACCATTTAACGTCACACTGTTGTTAATGAGGAAAAGCGTATTATTTTTCATTGTTTTAAGTAATTTCATGTAAAATAATTAATAAACCATGATAAACTAAATTGCATTGTTCAAGCTCATAACTAGAACTCATACAGTACAATCAAGGATGACAGATTAAATACAATGAGAGGCTTCACTGGGCAATAAATGTATCTCTCTGAAGCACTTATCTCTCTATTCAGGCAGACTGCAAACACTTCCAATGATTTGAAGGTTTCCCACCTTGAATGCAGCTTTTTTATATTTATATTTTTTAATTTAACAGTGATTTCTTGTGCCCCTGCACTGTAAAAAGTTTTTCAACATGACTATAACATTATCATTGTTTTCATCTAATTAAATTGTCACAAAGTCATTTTTACTTGATTTTCACAATAAATAAGAAACAATAAGAGAAAATTCATACATGAATTCAAAGCGCAGCAGTTTCTGGTAGATGGCATGAGGTAAAGAGAAGCAGGACCCCATCAGCCAGATGGCACCGATCCAGGATACGCCCTGAAGCCGAGACATCCGCTGTTTCATTGGATGCATCACCACCTGATGGACAGCAACAATCCCCAATCATGACTGCACAGTGCACATTGGTATGCACCGATTCACTGAGTTTTGATAAGAGGTGTAAAAAAGCTATTCACTCTAAAGGTTTCATTGATAATATTTTACAAAAGGCTGTTTGTGAGAACACTTACCTGGTGTCTATCAATGGCGATGGCAACCAGTGTAAGAACAGAGACATGGACAGAACAATACTGTGCAAAGCGGCTCACATGGCACATCACCTTCCCGAACACCCATGTACTGTAAACAAACCGAACCTGAGAGAACAAGTAAAGTGGCCTTGGATCCAGATGCATGTAAGAATTATAAAGCATGCATCCAGTATGTTCACCCCCACCCACTCACAGAGAGATGAATCATGCACATTCTCTATATAGTCTTTACCAAATAATTTACCATGCTATAGAGACAACACACCAAAACTCTACTTTGCATTATGCAGCATAATCCTACTCTTTTGCAAATGCTCTGTTTTGTTTGGAGACACCACCACCAAACACCAGTACATTATTAAACTGCTTCATATAGGCCTATTAATCGGCTCAGTGACAAATAAGGATGTCCAAGAGGATATTTGTGAGAAATCTTTTAGAAATCCTGTTTTTAACCCATGTGTCAAGTTCTTAAACATTCTTATTCTAGTTGGATATATGATTTTAAGAACATTATTGTTTGTTTGCTTTTACAAATATTATGACTTAATGTGTCTAAAAATGTCAAGTGCTGTAGGAAAAAAGTGTTAAATACTTAATAATTAGCTATTCACGAGTGTACAACAAACATTTTCAAAAATGATTTATTTATTTATTTTGAAAGTAGCCTACTTAATATCAAATGAAAATACTCAAGTCAAAATAAACTCATAGTCAAAAAGGTGAAATGTTCAATTGTTTTCTTGTCACATTTTTGTTTTCTTTTGTTGGTTAGCCCACACATAGATTTGGCAGAAAAATATTAAGAAATGTAATAAATGAACTACTTAGGCTATATGCTACTAAGATTTCAAGAATTTCAGCCTTTATATTTTCCAATCTAAGGACAGTTACACATTAACTTTAACCCCCACAAAAACATTGAAATTACTTTTTTAATCTGATATTTGCAAGCATGTCTGCCATTGAAGGATTGTTTTCTTGGTAACACTTACAATACGGGTGCACTAATATGCATTAATTCATGTTTAACTAATGCACAGATAAAGAGTTATTGTATAACTCATGAAGAACAAAACCATTAATTAATTATTACTGCATCAGCAACTAATAAAGAGTCTATATGATTAATAGATTAAGTAATACATGAATTGATATTAATTCAATGTGTCATTGTGTATTAATTCCTTAATAACATATTTTATTAATAGTGTAAATTAATGTGTTAATTACCACAATTAGTCAAAGCTATGCACTTCAACTACCAGTTGTCTGCTTTAATTAATCATTAGTTAATGATTTGCAAAGGTATCATTATGTTATGACTTTACTTGTTGAGGCACATTATTATTAACTAGTCATTTAGTAATTGTAGTAATTTACACATGAATTTGCACTAACAATAACGTAATTAATCATGTATTAATGCATATTAGTGTACCTGTATTATCTGGAAGTTGAAATACAAGGCTTTGGCTCATTCTGGAATTAACATATTAATGAACACTATTAGTAAAAAAAAAAAGAGTTAATAGGGAATTAATCCACAATTACATATTTAATTAACATAACAATGCATGTATGAACTAATACATTAACCTTACAGACTCTTAATTAGTTCCTAATGTGGTAATCATTAATGAATAGCTTAGATAATCATTAGTTACACATTAATTCAGTATTATCTGTGCATTAGTTAAGCATGAATTAATGCTTATTAGTGCACCCGTATTGTAAAGTGTTACCGTTTTCTTTTTGAGTGAATTGTATTGTTTAATGCATTTTGAATAGACTAGCTAAATCCAAGATTAGATTAGTAGGCTACTATGAGCGATTGACCTGTAACAAAATTGTCTAGATTTTGAACTGCATAAAAATGAACGAGTAGCCTAATAATTGTATTTTAATACAAATAAAAATAAAACATCAATATAGCCCATTGTTTTCTTATTAAGTGAATAAGTGAAACTCGTGTAAACTTACCAGTGTAAAAGGAGTGTTGAGGAGAGTTATAAGGATGTCAGCAATGGCTAAATTCATGATGAACAAACTTGTCACTGAGTGCATTCTTTTATTCTTAATAACAACGTGACAAACCACCACGTTTCCGAAAAGCGAGATGAAGATAATAACGGAATATGAGACGACGAGCAGCGCTCTGATAGTCGGTCTGTGGGATTCAGACTCGTAATTCGATCCTCTCTCGTACATCGCGTCCAAAGAGAAATTAAAAAACGTAGAGAAATTCTGAAAGAGATAAAACTGCGAGAATAAATCTAAGGAGGTGTTTATGAATGTCATCGTAACGAGATTATCCGGAGCAGGTGCAGTGTCAAAAACACCAAAGCGCAGTTCTGAGTCACTTTTGGACACAGTTCGGTGGTGTTTGAGTCAACATGCTGCGAGTCAAACGCTGCGCCAGCGTCAAATGATGCGGATTGGATGAAAGCCACGGTCAGTGATGCGTCTCATCCTCTGGCATATTCTAATCACAATCTTTGCTGCCACTTCACAGACTCGCACACATTCACCATCACCACTTCTCAGCAGTATGCACCTCACTAAAGGTCACTTTTAATTGAATAATAACTCAATAAACCCATCTGGACTTCAATCAGACAAAAGTAACAATTAAAATGGAAATGTGTTGAGTATGGAAGTAAAATAATGCCTCATTTTTTTTAAACAAAAAAGCCTGTTGAATTGCACTACTTGAAAAAAAAAGGCATTGCATTAACAATGCTTGCATTTTAATACATTGCATTTTTAGGGCTTGCATTTTTATGGGATGAAATTCAACATGGTTGAATATTTAAGCTGTGAATATTATAAACACATTTTCATTATTAAAAATGCAATAATCCATATTCATCTTTCATATTTCACTTCCAAAATATTCAAACGGTTTAAAAATACAACCTATAATATTCAACAGGCAATTTTCGTCCATTTTGTTTCGCTTTGCAAATTCACTTCCACAAATTCAGTGGTTCAAATTCGAGAGTTTTCAACGTTGACATCCAGGAACTGCAGGGAAAGCAGTAGATTACCGAGCATAATCTCAATCTGCTGTTAGTCGACCTTACCAGCAGGAGGTGCAAAAGCGCGTTTTGTTGAGGAAACAGGAGCAAAAGTTAGAGCAAGCCATTCATTCATATAAACTCATTTACAGCAACTGAGCATGCATTAAGTTTTTGTGATGATTTTCTGGGTAAGTATATATGCAGAAAAGATGATAAAAACACAAAAGCTGTGTTTATGTTTCATTCAATAAGTTAATTGTTACTTTCCCTCTGTAGCCTTACATGTTATCAGCTTTCTCTACCATGAACGGGATTATAATCGGTTTCCCTCAATACCTCATCATACTCAAGGATTCCCCTTCTATCGGGACAAAACGCTTAACGTAGCTAAATGGACTAATAGCCTGTGATATAAAAGACCAAACTCGCACCTTATTGGGGATGTAGGCTATAGGCTACAGGCAAGCAGATGGACTCAGAATATGAATTTAACGCGCAAAGTTTCATGCTGAGCGTTTCCCAGTGACTGGTGTAACAGTCCTCTTTGGATCAGTCTCACTATGTTGTGTATGTGGAGCGGCATCTGCACATGGGGAAACCAAGCTGAATCAGGATAGGCATGTCGATGAGACATAAACAGCCCATCAGTTATCAGGAGTTCTGCTCTTTTTTATTAAACTTGTTCAACTGTGATCGTATAGTGGAATGGTTATTTTTAACAAAAGTACAGTGATATGTTTTACAATATTTTGTCTATTTCACAGTAAAATGTAAAAATAAAATAAATTAAATTAAATCCTCAGCTTCTAAATCATTTCTGCTGTAGAAAACACAGTATATGAAACAGTACAGTGTCTTCAACACTGGAATATATCTGCTAATATAGTAACATTATAAAATTTTCATATAACAAAAGTCAACATTAAATTCAATGTTACCTGCACATGGGTAAACCAAGCTGAATCAGGATAGGCATGTCGACATCACGGACAGAGACATAAACAGCCCTACACAACGCACATTAAGTCAGATGGAGGAATAGCATTAGAAGCCCAATGACTCATTTGACGCCAAACAAACGGCATTCATCTCTAAATTACATCACAACAAAAATACAGTAAAATAAAATATTGTGTGAAGGGCTTTAGAGCATTTTAGCTAACATTGTCTCTGCAGCGTTTAACATGCAACTTACCACAGCAGTTATCATGAGTTCTGCTGTGGATTACCCAGAATTCGTTATTTTTAGCGCGGCGGTGCAATGTGAAAGTGACGCCAGCCGAGGGCGCTGTCCCCATTTATGCAGCAATTTAAAAGAACCCATATACAGGTCCTTTTAAAAAAAATTGCATATTGTGATAAAGTTCATTATTTTCCATAGTGTAATGATAAAAATTAAACTTTCATATATTTTAGATTCATTGCACAACAACTGAAATATTTCAGGTCTTTTATTGATTTAATACTGATGATTTTGGCATACAGCTCATGAAAACCCAAAATTCCTATCTCAAAAAAATAGCATATTTCATCCGACCAATAAAAGAAGTGTTTTTAATACAAAAAAAAGTCAACCTTCAAATAATTATGTTCAGTTATGCACTCAATACTTGGTCGGGAATCCTTTTGCAGAAATGACTGCTTCAATGCGGCGTGGCATGGAGGCAATCAGCCTGTGGCACTGCTGAGGTGTTATGGAGGCCCAGGATGCTTCGATAGCGGCCTTAAGCTCATCCAGAGTGTTGGGTCTTGTGTCTCTCAACTTTCTCTTCACAATATCCCACAGATTCTCTATGGGGTTCAGGTCAGGAGAGTTGGCAGGCCAATTGAGCACAGTAATACCATGGTCAGTAAACCATTTACCAGTGGTTTTGGCACTGTGAGCAGGTGCCAGGTCGTGCTGAAAAATGAAATCTTCATCTCCATAAAGCTTTTCAGCAGATGGAAGCATGAAGTGCTCCAAAATCTCCTGATAGCTAGCTGCATTGACCCTGCCCTTGATAAAACACAGTGGACCAACACCAGCAGCTGACATGGCACCCCAGACCATCCCTGACTGTGGGTACTTGACACTGGACTTCAGACATTTTGGCATTTCGTTCTCCCCAGTCTTCCTCCGGACTCTGGCACCTTGATTTCCGAATGACATGCAAAATTTGCTTGCATCCGAAAAAAGTACTTTGGACCACTGAGCAACAGTCCAGTGCTGCTTCTCTGTAGCCCAGGTCAGGCGCTTCTGCCGCTGTTTCTGGTTCAAAAGTGGCTTGACCTGGGGAATGCGGCACCTGTAGCCCATTTCCTGCACACGCCTGTGCATGGTGGCTCTGGATGTTTCTACTCCAGACTCAGTCCACTGCTTCCGCAGGTCCCCCAAGGTCTGGAATCGGTCCTTCTCCACAATCTTCCTCAGGGTCCAGTCACCTCTTCTCGTTGTGCAGCGTTTTTTGCCACACTTTTTCCTTCCCACAGACTTCCCACTGAGGTGCCTTGATACAGCACTCTGGGAACAGCCTATTTGTTCAGAAATTTCTTTCTGTGTCTTACCCTCTTGCTTGAGGGTGTCAATGATGGCCTTCTGGACAGCAGTCAGGTCGGCAGTCTTACCCATGATTGCGGTTTTGAGTAATGAAACAGGCTGGGAGTTTTTAAAAGCCTCAGGACTCTTTTGCAGGTGTTTAGAGTTAATTAGTTGATTCAGATGATTAGGTTAATAGCTCGTTTAGAGACCCTTTTCATGATATGCTAATTTTTTGAGATAGGAATTTTGGGTTTTCATGAGCTGTATGCCAAAATCATCAGTATTAAAACAATAAAAGACCTGAAATATTTCAGTTGGTGTGCAATGAATCTAAAATATATGAAAGTTTAATTTTTATCATTACATTATGGAAAATAAAGAACTTTATAACAATATGCTAATTTTTTTAGAAGGACCTGTACAACCCGTTACATACACCCCCCTAAATTTCTGCTAAATCAGGGAAGCGCATCCACAGAGAAAACAGAAGAAAGAAGAGAGAGAAGAAAAAAAATTGGATTACATTGAGCACTACTGCGTAATAGTCAGTTACAAAACTTCTCCTACAGAGATATGCAAGGCTGGTACCAAAACCTAAACCTTAACAGAGACACAAGAGATGCCGTTTACACCTCTCCTAATTGACACAGCTCAAGAAAAATAACTCCAGAGAAAAATGGAGTATCTGTCTACACTCTTGAACAGAATTACTCAAATGTACATTATAAAGTCTCAGGCTACACTGAAACATTTCTCACAAAAGTAATAAAAGAACCCACTGAAGACCTTGAATCTTTCACAACCTGGTCATTCATCTCACAAATGAATCTCTTTGGAGGTTTAATGGTCCTACCAGTCCAAGTCATAGTCATGTCAGGGAATACTCGCTTTGGCTGGGTGCAAATTACAGGCTCAACTGATTCTGAGTCTACACTACTGGGAACATGTGAGTGTGCATCAGCTGGTGAATCTGTGGGGAGCTGTATGGGGTGACTGTGGGCAGACTGATCGTCCAGGAATGATGACTGGCTCACATCACTGTCCCGGCCAGTACATAAATGACTATCTTCGACAACATCATCCACATGAGGAGTATTCTCTTCTGCATTGAATGAACTGTTATCGTCATCAGGGACACAATCCAGCCGAGGGGTCCTCTCTACTGCGTTGGATGAACTGGGTAAGTCGACAACAACTTCACCAGGTCCAGCATTCTTTCCCGATTGCAAAATCCACTGCAATGTTTTTTTCATCACTGTCAAGTAGGCCTAGGTCATGAGGCAGAGCATCACCATGATCAGTTCCAGCACCAACTGACAGGGAATCAGACAACAGGTCAGCATCATTGTCTCTCAACAGGAAACTAACAGGAAGGAGTAGGTTTCGGTGAACTGTTTTTTCTTTGCCAGTGACTGTGTCCTTCACACGATAGACATTGATTGCTGATCTTACTGACAACAACTTCGTAAGGAACTGACTCCCATTTTTCTGCGACTTTCCGTTTCCCTCTTTCACCTCTGTTTGCCAACAAAACCCTGTCACCAACAGTCAATGGAGAACCTTTTACCTTGCGGTCGTAGAGCTTGGCATGACGAGCCTGTTCAGCTGAACTGTGCCTCTGAGCAACCTCTGCTGCCTCACTCAGGTCTCTTTTGAGGTGGGACTCGAACTCTGAATGGGTAACGGCACGATCATTCTTTAGAGCACGTTGGAACAATACATCAATCGGGAGTCTGGGGATCCTTCCAAAAATGAGGTAAAAAGGTGTGAAACCTGTTGTTTCGTGGACAGTGCAATTATAACAGAATGTCAGCACTCTTAATGACTGGGGCCACTTTGCTTTGGACTTGGGGGGTAAGGCTCTGATCATGCTCCCCAAGGTTCTGTTGAAACGCTCTGTGATCCCGTTACCCATCGGGTGGTAAGGGGTAGTGT